TTCTGGCAACAATTATTTTGGTTTGAATGCATTTAAGATTATATACACATATAATCACAATGGCATACCAGTCAATCTTAAACAATAACAACAAAGAATATATTTTTTTAAAAACTTCAAAACACATTTTTGTTAAATCTAAGGTTGAGAAAGTCAAGAGTGAGTAGCAAACATTGCAAAAAAGCCAATAATGTCAGGAGGATTGGTCCATACTTTAAATTTTTTTAAAAAAATTACAATTAAGCTTCCAGCTCCCTGAAACTCTGGAACACTCTTCCTCTATCCCTCCACCTTGCCCTTCCTTCCCCATTTTTAGGTCGTGCCTGAAGACCTTACTATCCGACTATTCACCACCCCCATGCTCATAGTGGTGCTCTGCCAATGTCAGGCACTCTGGGACGCTACCCTGCATGAGGGGCGCTATATAAATGCAAGTTGTTGTTGTTCAGCTGTTGCTTTAGTATATTTAACTTTATTGAAATGGCTATTACTGTTTGTAAGCAGAAGTAAACACCAGCTTGTACAATCATAAATAGCACCTTCATAATACAATGACTAAGTGGTTTTGTAGGAAACAATAGTCATTTGTCTGCTGTCTCAACAACTGCTTAAAAAGACAAATTCTTACTGTGCTATTTCCATAGGAACATCCAACGGGCCTGGTGGGAGGGATAGGAGTAAACAAGCTCTCCTTGGCGCTAAGCTGGCTCCAAGGTGACGTGCTTGGCAGTGGAATGTCAGAATTGAGTCAACCCTCTGTGGCAGTCTCAGTAATCAGGTCAACGGTACACCAAGGCACTGCTGATGACAGATCAGCCAGCCCCAGCCTGGTTTGTTAGCAGAACGTGAAGGAGCTGATTAACTACTGGGTGTAGCGATTCCTCCAACTCAATTCCTGTTAACCCTGCAAGCCAAAGTCACCCTGCATGCTGGACAGAGGTACTGGTACAGCTGGGCCAAGTTACAGAGGTGAGCAAATGCGAGCCCAGATATATGACTCAAAAAGAATTCAAGATCAAACAAGTCAGAGGTTCTGCAAGCAGCAGCTCCGCAAGATAGAGCGCCAGGGCCTGAGGGAGCCAGGCAGGAGAGCCTCAATCTTGTCTATATTTAACTGAAGAAAGTTGGAGCTCATTGGCACTTAATGTCTGACAGGCAATCAATCAAACAGCAGTAGTCCAGAAGTTGAAGATAGAGACAGAGAGAGAGTTAGGCATCATCTGCTTACAAGTAGAGGAAAGGTTGGTAGACAGTGCTCTCAACAGTAAGCTACATGGTTTGAACTGATTGAACTCCAGTAGTAACCCTGAAGGCACATTCTGGGGTCTTGCCAACCTGTGCTGAATTCTCTCCTAAAGTAGGTAAGCAGGGTGCATCGCTCTTGGGAGAGAATGCAAATTCCATTCAGACAGGGAAATTTCCGTGTGTAAGCAGCATACATATGTGGAACTTCATTTAGTTTGCATACTCTCAAGCATAGTGATGGATTAGCACCTGTGTCAAAAACCACCCTGCCCACCCCCCAAGAAATAAAGAAATTCCAAATCATGGAACCTGTACGGAAACTCGGCATTTTATCGACCCTCAACTTTCCTTCAAACCCTTCATTTGGGCTCTGATCAAATTAGCTTTCCGCCATCTCAACAACATTGCCTGTCTCTACCACCAAGGCAGACAAAACCCTATACGCACCTTTGATTCTTTCAGATTCAACTTTTCAAATGCCCCATTCATTCGCTTCCCTCCACAAGTTTATCCTGATACACTATCTCTAGGAGAATTTATTCTCTGTATTCATTCCAACCTGAATTCTGATGTAAACCAGGTTTTAAAAGACTTTCAATTTGAAGTTTGCAGTGATTCATAACAAGAATTAATATAGTAATCCTTGGATTTATCATGTTGTTAGAACACCAAAGCATTTCAGAGGATTTTATTGTAAAATGCAGTGACTGTTTACTTGCAGGCACATGCAACAGCCGATTTACACACAGCAATATCTCACAAACAGCCACAAAAGTCAAGGACCAACCAACTTGTTACTTGAAAAATTAATGGCCAGGATATTGGGAGAAACTCAATTTGCTTTTCGAATAATGCCACGGAATCTTTGACATTCACCGGAATAGGCAGATGGGATCTCGATTTATTGTCTCATCCAAAGGACAACACCTCCAACATTGCAACACTTCCCAAGCACTTCAATTCAAAGATCGAATGAGCCTAGGAAATAAATTCCCATTCTGCAGATCTATCTGGATGCTTGCAGAAATGATACAACTCATTTTAGAAATTTCAAAAAGGCATGTGAGCTGCAGACTTGGGGAACAATGCAGTGAGCTGTACTGACTGTTCTATGAGTCAAGGCTCACCTCGAGACCCTCCTCTTCGACTGCACCTTCGGTCAGCCTTTTAAACCTATCCTCCCTGCCCTCCACTCCTCCAGATCCCAAACCCCAGCTCTGATCCAAATCCCTGACTCTAGCACCTTGGCACGTCTTGCCGACGTGAAAGGCTCTATACAAATGTGATTTGTTGTTGTAATAATTAAGGCAGAGATTTGCAGCATTCAATAACTTGCTCCTTGTGATAGTTATTTCAAGGAATAGGTTATCGGATATCTCTAATTTTAGAACATTTCATATTTTAGACATCTTAATTTAATACTACTTGCATTTGATATAGCAACTTTCAACTCGGGAGAATATCTCAAAGCACTTCACAGGATCCACTGTCGGCAAACACAGCAGCCAAGTTGCACAAAGCATTGTTCCACAAACAGCCATGAAGTGAATACCCAATTTTTTTTGGTGGATAGTTGGCAAGGACATTGAGAGAAATCCCCTTTCTAATTTTGAATAGTGCCATAGGATCTTTATCATCTCCTGAACAGATGGTGGACAAGACCTTGGTTAATGCCTCATCTGTAGGACTGTACCTCCTGAACAATTCCTGAACAATATATTGGAGTATCAGTTTTTACTAATCGAGTTCAAAGTCCGGACAGGAGGCTTGAAGCAAGAACCTACAGACTCAGTTGTGTACCATCTGAACCAGGCTGTCGTCCATTTTGTTTTATTGTATTTGTCTTATTGACTTAAATTTGACTTAATACAATGAGTACACTGCTACAAGGCGTATTTTTGATCTTTAAAACATATGCTTCACAAAGACTTCAAAAATAAGGTTTACAAATTAGTTCACAGCTTCCTCTTCACACTATTATGGCCAAGTGCCAAATGGAGCCAAGAATGCCACCAAAAGTGCTTAACAAAGCTGAAAGCAAAACCGCATTTCTTCCGGCAGACGAGAAATTTAGAGTGGTTAGTTCAATTTATTCTCCCCACCCCATCTTATCTATACTTCACACCCACCTATTTACATGGAGTCCCGTAGCTTAGTGCCTCGCAAGTGAGAGGACCCAGATTCCATTCCCCGACGAGGTAAAATCTGAGGCAAGTTTCCTTACTCCACATGTCTGTGTTCACCTAGCAGAAAGTAGGAACCCAGATCGCTTTCAGGGAGTAATAATCCTTCAAAAAAAAGATTGGTCATTCAATCCATGATTGTTTGTGGGACATGGCTGTGCACCATTGGCTGCCGCGTTTCACCCACAAAATCCAGTCAATTCACTTTACAATATATTCTGTACAAAATAAATGCAGGGAGGAAAACAACAACAACAAAATTACATTTGTATAGCGCGTTTTATGTCGGGAGGACGTCCCAAGGCGCTGGATAAATACAAATTTGTGCAGATTCTTGTGGTCCCGTATGATCATATGGAGTCCGTGGAGTCCTGTAGCTCAGTGGTTAGAGCGCTCGCCTTGCAAGCGAGACGCCCGGGTTCAATTCCAGGCAGAGCGAAACCTTGAGCAAGTTTCCTTACTCCACACACCTAATAATAATCCTTCCAAAAAACAGAACAATAATAAATTGGTAATTTTCAATTCACAACTGTTTGTGGGACACTGCTGTGAGCAATTGACTGTCGCGTTTCACCCACAAATATATGGTCAATTCACTTTACAGCAAATTCTGTGAAGCGCTTTGAGACGTCTAGAAGATGTGAAAAATGCTATATCAAATGCAAGGATTATTATTATCATGTGATAAGATATCAAACAGGGAACTCAATTCTGAAATCATTAGAACCTCACTTGGCTTAAGCCACCTCATTTGTCTTAAGCCGTGGAAACTACCATGTCCAAAGTGAACATTAAAGATTATTCAATCTTTATAGACACAAAAAAACCCTGATCAAATTCACTATAATTAACCAGGATTAATAAGCAGCTATTCTCATGAAAGCACTCCCACCATTTTCATCTTTGTTTTGAAAAGAAAAATCTACACACTGCTTTGTTCAAATTGTACATTTGACTGTTATATAGTCACACAGATTTAATTTCAAAGAACCTCTGTCATGCTGGTTCACATTTTAATTCCAAGAAAACATCATCACAGGGCCATTAATATTAACAAAGAACTACACGAACATATAAACAGTGTTTTGCAAATGAATGGAATGCTTGTATAAGATTGCCCTCCATATCCCCAATAGCCAAAATTTAAGTAACATAGAATACATTCACATTTATAACTGAAAATCACTTTGCTGGGATACTCCTAACTGTTAACATATTTCTGCAAAGTATTTAAACACTTCTACCTTATAGAGCAGTGGTGGCCAATCTTTTTGGTCGACCAAAAAAATAAATTTCCTGATTGAATCAATCAATTCCAGATTTTTCTTGACTCAATCCCTCAAAAAACAATGAACCAAACGACTGTTTGGATTGCGTTTGAAGAAGGGAAGATTACAGAAGAACCCGGTTATAATGTCACCTCAGTAGACTGTCTCGCTTATAGCACGAGTATCCTAAGGCTATCCACTAACCGAAAGCACAGCGCACCCAGCTTCTGGTTAGATTATCACTGATTAGTTGGCTTCCAGTACTAAAAAATGCATGTGCACTATACTAATTCACTGTCAATACTCTCTGCCTTTGAAATTAAATGGTTATTTTGTGTCAATCTATGCATTTAGGCCTAGAATGGGACCAAGCTTACCAGGTTGTGGGTTCAACTTGTTGTGATTGGGTTTAGATAAAACATTTAAAGTTCATATTTTACAATATCTTGAAAATAGTGAACATACTAAATTTTTGATTTGAAGTAGTTACCCAAAACTATTCACCTCATTCAATAACACAAATGTATGTTTCAAGGTTTTTTTGTGATACACATGCAGATATATAATCTTACTGAGTTTGAAATTAACTGATATTGTCCTTACCTCAATTTCGAAGGTGTACTCTGAACCATCCAGCATGAGTACCTTGCACTGCACAGCCTTCATCATTTTTGGAATTTTCAGAGGTGATTTTTTGTTGCTGTCATCATCTTTCTTAGGCTCCCCACTTCCTTTCTCTTCAATGGTTATCTCTTCACTCTTCAAGTCTGTATCCTTTTCCAAAGTTCCTGCTGCATTTTTCTCCTCTTTAGCAGGCTGCAGAGGATCCAAGTTTTAGAAATGCAGCATTAAATACTAATCATATCAGGCAAAGATCATCTATATTTGTTTCCTTACTTAAAATAGAGTCCTGCAATATGACTTACACAAATCTTGCACAGTAAAATTAGCTTGTCCAATTGCAAGTTTTTGTAATTTTACGAATTCACTTAGGTCTTTGGACTCGCTAGATATTTTCAATAGCTACTTCTCATGTCAAAAGTGGAAATCATTAAAGTGAGTCCAACACAAATTTAAGGCATGAATGAGATCATCATCATTCTGAAAGATTGTAAAGTCTTCCTTTAAAAAAAACTTCTGCCCAATCATACATGGTGAAAATGCAAGTTAAATTAACAGAAATATGCTTACAAAAACAGAGAGGACTGGTTCTAATTTTTAGTATCAATTCTTATAATAAAAGTTCACAAGATCACAAGATTGGTCTGGATGAGGAAGGCCCTTCGCCCATCCCATCTCATCCCTCCAGAATTCCCTCCCTACGTTCCCCCATCACTGCATCAAATTGCTTTTCAAACAAGTGCAGGTTTCCTGGCCTCTACCACCTTTCCTGGCAACCTGTTCCAGTCATTGATTACCCATTGCGTAAAGAAAAACTTTCTGGTGTCTTGTCATAAAAGTGCCCTTTAAACTCTAAACCCATGTCCTGTTACTCTACTGTCTTGATACATCCTAAAAGTATTGATTTGGGGTTACTTTTTCAATCCCATTTAAAATGTTGTACACCTTTAAAATGTCGTCTTCTCTCAAAACGGAAAAACCCCAGCTTGTCTAATCGTTCATTCCTCTAACTATCATAATAATACTTGAATTTGATAGCACTTTTCACATCTTCTAGACATCTCAAAGCACTTCACAGAATATACTGTAAAGTGAATTGACTGCATTTTTTGCGGGCGAATCGTGGCAGCCAATTGTGTACAGCAGTGTCCCACAAACAGTCGTGGATTGAAGTGACCAAATTATCATCGTTTTTTTTCTTCTTGAGGGATTATTATCAGGTATGTGGAGTAAGGAAACTTGCCCAAGGTTTCGCCCTGCCGGGAATCGAACCCGGGTCTCTTGCTTGTGAGGCGAGTGCTCTAACCACTGAGCTACAGGACTCCATCATCCTCATTCCTCTCCTCTGCACCCGTTTATGTTATGGTGACCAGAACTATATGCAGTATTCAAAGCACTGTACTGCCTGAGAATGACATCTGGGGATCTAAACTCAACTGATTTAGGAATATAGGCCAACATCCAGTTTGCCGTGTTTATTACTGCCTCACATTGTTTTGACATAGTGAGCAAATGAGTCAACCAACATCCCTAGATCTCTTTCAGCTTCCCCCTTGGAAATTCAATCCCATTCATAAAGTATGTGTATTTCCTATTCTTGGATGCTATATATAGCACCTTGCACGAGGTCAGTTTGTTAATTTTTGAAAACGTTTCTCTCTCTCTCACACACACACACACACACACACAATCTCTTTCCCCAAGGTTCTCTCTGCCTCGGTCTACCACTTTCTCTGACTAACCTTACACTGTACAAAAGTAGGTATAAACACTCTGTGGCATCAGCAACATAGATAGAAACAAAATAATTTGGAATTAAGTAGTACTTTTCACACAAACAATTTCTCAAACCAACTGGCAAATATAGTGGGGCACACCGAACAAAGTAATCAGTGATTTAAAAGGCACAATGTAAGAGAAGTATTTGAAGATGTTTGGAGGCAAGCAAAGATGCTACAAAGTAGAGTTTTTTGGTCAGGGATTCAGAAGACAAGTTAGGGGGAGACACGACCACAATCACTGGCGACTTTACCCAAGGAAATCTCACCTCCTGAACTTCAAAGAATATAACCCATTTTACTCAGCCTCTCTTCATAGTACATCAACTGGGAGTGGGTCAAAGAGAACAGATGGTGGGTTTCATACCAGAGAAAATTCTTATCAGAGACAGTAGAGAAACTGGAAGAAAAATAGTAGAGAAGAAGTAGATGGTTGGGGGGAAAAAAAAAGTCAAAGTGGAAAGAATGATGCAGTGGAGACTGAGGGGGCCCAAGGCAATGTCTATAATTTTCACAAAGGGAAGGGAATTCAGTTTCAATAATAAATCTTGCGCTTGTTAAGTTGGTAGTTGCCCATGTGAAGTATAAAGCACTAATTGGGTCAAATATGGAGGGGGTGGGATTCTATATACAAATCTAAGTGCAATTTGATTTCGCCCACAAATATACGGTCAATTCACTTTACAGTATATTCTGTGAAGCGCTTTGAGACATCTAGAAGACGTGAAAAGTGCTATATCAAATGCAAGGATTATAATTATTAATAAGCTTTACAAAAGTAATTTTGTTGTATTTTGTTGCAAGTTTCTCAGTATTGAGAATTCTCAGTACAGTATGGTTTATTTTCTTCACATTAACCCATTTCTCACCCCACCCACCAAGAGAATTCTCAGTCCAGTTTCTTTTCTTCCTTTCACCCCAGTTCTCTCCCCCCTCTCCCAAAAAAGAAATTAACTCTAAATACTAGGATTTTACTGGGGATGAGTAGTTTGGCTTATGAGCGGAGACGAGAGGAACTGGGATTTTTTCCACAGGAACAAAAGTTGAGGGGTGACCTGATACAGGTCTTTAACATTTTAGAGTTTTGACAAAAGACAATAGGGAGAAATTATCTGCACTGGTTGCCAGTAAATGGAGGACATCAATTTAAGATAGTTAGATAGTAAAGGAGCAAATGGAGGGGGTGGGTTGATTTTTTTTCCCATAGAAGTTAAGATATGGAAGCCCTGTTGAGAGCTATCTGGTGAGGCGAAATCTACATTGGCTTTCAAGAGGAAACTGGAGAGTTATCTTAAAGAGTTAGCTACAGGGATATAGGTATGGGAAAAGAGCAGGTAAATGGGACTGAAAGGATTGCTTGAGGGAATCAGCACAAACAATGTTCCAGGGGGCCTTCTTCTGTGCTATAACTTTCTATGGTTCCAAATGAAACATGGTGAAAGTTTATTTCGTATTCAAAATTAAGTTTATTTTGTACCATTTGTAGTTAAATATTAAAACTACCATTTGTAGTTAAATATTTAAACGTTTATAGACAAAGCAGAAATTATTTGCTATTACAATTCCATTCCAGATTGCCTGAGTTACAGAAATTTAGTTTATTACACAACTAATACTACAGTTCATTATAAACAGTTTACAGTGGACATTTTACTTGCCTGTATCTCCGCAGAGCTCAATGGACACTCTTCTTCCCTATCATCCACCTTAATCACTTCCGCTGTAGGCACCGCCTCCTTCACCATTTCACTCTCACATGGAATCTTCACTAGCTCCAGCTGTTCTTTTTCTACTGGCTCACTTTCTTCAGGTAGAGGCTCACTTTCTTCAGGTAGAGGCTCACATTCTTCAGGTGGAGTCTCGCTTTCTTCAGGTGGAGTGTCATTGGTGTTCTCGGCCACTTTGTCTTCTATAGGTTGCACCAGAGTCAGCGATTTCTGCTTCTTTAGCCATCCAGGCAAGAAACGTGATAGTCCTTTCCCTCCTGACTGCTCCTTTCTCTCACTGCTGGATGGACTTGCAGTTGAAGTTGAAGGGGAACTTGGTTCATGTTCAGAAACAAGTTGCTCTGTAGACACTGACTGCTGGTCTTCCTTAGTGTCATTCTGTTCTTGTTTTGCATTGACTGAATCTTTCAGATTTGAGTCTTGAGGCTGATCTTGCTCAGTTTCCTTAAATTCCTTTATTTCAGGTTTAGATCCAACATCAGTTGCCATGATGACAACTTGAACTGGAAAAAAAAAGTTTCATAATTTGATACTGAATTAGAAGAAAACTTTGAAGATTACAAATTAGGATCACAATGTCAATACTCAACTCTAAGTTAAAGGAAACCTGATACTTGCCATTTTTCAGTTAAATAAATGTATTATGATGCGCAGGATTTCTAACAGTTATTGCATCAACTTTCATGATGCCATCAACTTTCAAGATCCGCCACTGTCTCACACCGCAGGCCGCCGAAACCCTCATACCTGCTTTCATTATTTCGAGGCTCAACTATGCAAACTTATTGCTTGTCGGCCTCCCCAATTCCTCCCTCCACAGGCTACAGATCATCCAGAACTCTGCAGCCCGTGTCCTCTCCCACACTAGGCTCCGCGACCTATCACCCCCATCCTTGCCCAACTCCACAGGCTTCCCATCACATAGTTCAAGATCCTGGTCCTCAACTTCAAAGTCCTCGACGGTCTTCCTCCCCCCTACCTCTGCAACCTCCTAACCCCCTCCCATCCTGTTTGCTCCCTCTGCTCCGCGGGCTCCAGCCTGCTTCACATCTCCTGCCTCACTCACCCCACTATTGGCGGTCGGGCCTGCCACCACTCTGCCCCCACCCCCTGGAGCTCCATCCCGAAGTCCCTCCACCTCGCCCCCTCCCTTGCCACCCTCAAGACCCATCTCAAGACCCTCCTCTTCGACCGAGTTTTCGATCTCCCTGCTTCTCCCCCTACCCTCCACCCTCCCCGTAACTCTGTCTGTCCAGCGTCTTGGGACGTTTTCCCGACGTGAAAGGCGCTATACAAATGTAATTTTCTTGTTGTTATATTTACATTTCAAAAGTATGTAAATTAAATTTGTAGGTTTAAAAATGAAATACACAGAAAATTTAATCTACACAGTTTTTAATCTCAACCAGATCCAAAAAATACACGACTGTTTGTGGGACACTTCAGTACGCGATTGGCTGCTGATTTCGCCCACAGTCAATTTAATTTGTAATATATTCTGTGAAGCGCTTTGAGATGTCTCAGCAACATAAGACACTGTATCAAGTGCAAAGGTTATTATTATCATCAAAAATAGAAGACACCTTTTCATGAGATGGGGGGGGGGGGGAGTACAAAAAGAATTGCAGAAAATGTCAGATTTAATATGGTTAATTAAGTACTAAAATAATCTTAAAATACATTTCTATAATTTTCTACCATCTTTTAGCACTCAGTCTACACATTTGTTGTTGTCAGCCTCCATGATTTTATGTAAAAATGTCATTACAATGTCATGTAATTGTTTGAATTTTAAAAGTTGGACCATCTGCACATAGAAAACATACATCTTGCATGTTAGATAGTACCATCACAAGATACCACTATTGGTTTCGGCCCATATAATCTCACACTCCAGAAAATCCACCATTACATCACAGCACCCTGGTCTCAACCACATTTCCTGACAACAGGTTTGTCATTAGTTACACTGAGTAACGAAAAATGTCCTGGTGTCTGGCAGCCCTCTTATATCACAGCAACCAAAACTATACACAATACTCAAGGTGTGGCCCGACCAGATCACTATCGTGAGGTCCTGTAGCTCAGTGGTTAGAGCACTCACCTTGCCAGCAAGAGACTTGGGTTCTATTCCCGCAAGGCGAAATGTTGGGCAAATTTTCTTACTCCACACGCCTCTGTTTACCTAGTAGTAAGTAAGAACCCAGTTGTTAGTCGATTCGCGGATTGCTTTTCCGGGCTAATAATCCCTCAAACAAAAACAATAATAATTTGGTCACTCAATCCACGACTGTTTGTGGGACACTGCTGTGCGCAATTGGCTGCCACGTTTCACCCACAAGTATACAGTCAATTCACTTTACAGTATATTCAGTGAAGCGCTTTGAGATATCTAGAAGACATGAAAAATGCTATATCATATGGAAGGATTATTATTATGCAACACGAGTGCGACATCTGTCGATCTGAAAACTGATTTGGCAAAATAGCCAGGCATCCTGTTTGCCGTGTTTATTGCTGCCTCATACTGTTTTAACATGGTGAGCAATGCATCAACTAATGTCCTAAGATCTCTTTCATTTCCACCTTGGCAAGGTTTATCCCTCCTTGGCAGTGGTTGTGGGGGAGGGGGGGGAAGGAGAGGGGGTCTCCTTGGAGCTGAACAGGCTCCAAGGTGAATGTCTGGCATCGGAATATCGGAATCAAGCCAGCCCTCTGCGGCTGTCTCAGTAGTCCGGTACCTGAGCCAGGCAGGTCCAAAGTACTCCAGGAACTGCTAACAGCAAAGCCAGCCTGGCTTTTCAGCAATACTTGGAGGGACAGACCAGTCACAGGGGGCAGGAAAGCCTCCTACACAGCTCATGCAAACCAAAGCCCTAAATGGGTGAGGGTGGACCTAGCTCGACAATCAATGGGAAAGCTTGCCAAACAGTGCTATGAATGGCAAGCTGTGCAGTTTTAGCTGGTTAGAACCCGGCAGTATCCCAACACACACTTTGGGGTCCTCAAGCCTCGGCTCCTGCCGTCCTGCGCCGAATGCTTTCCGCTATTAGGTAAGCAGGATGCGTTCCTCCAGAGAGAATGCACAATCTACAACAACAACAACAAGATTCCATTTATAGAGCGCCTTTCACGTCAGGAGGACGTCCCAAGGCGCTACACAGTTGGGTCATGACCCGAGCAGGGGGGAAATGGTCAGGGTGAGGGGAGGGAAGGGAGGGAGAGAGGAGGGGGAAATGGTCAGGGTGAGGGGAGGGAAGGGAGGGAGCGAGGAGGAGGAAGAGAGTCGAGAGGGGAGCTGAAGGCACGGTCAAAGAGAAAGGTTTTGAGACCGGCCTTGAAGGAGGAAAGGGAGGAAGCAAGGCGAAGGCACTGGGGGATGGAGTTCCAGAGCCTGGGGGCTGAGAGGCTGAAGGCCCGACCACCGATAGTAGGGCGGTTGGGGCGGGGGACGTGGAGCAGACCGGAGCCAGAGGAACGGAGGGTACGGGCAGGTAGGTAGGGGGATAGTAGGTTGGAGAGGTAGGAGGGAGCGAGGCCGTGAATGGCCTTGTAGGTGAGGATGAGGATCTTGAAATCAATCCTCTGGGGGATGGGGAGCCAGTGGAGGCGAGCGAGGGTGGGAGTGATGTGATCGCGAAGCCTGGTGCGGGACAGTACACGAGCTGCAGAGTTCTGAATGACCTGCAGCTTGTGGAGGGAGGTGGCGGGAAGGCCGGCGAGGAGAGAGTTCCCATAGTCCAGCCTTGAGGTGACAAAGGCGTGAACCAGGGTTTCAGCAGCGTGAGGGGTGAGGTAGTGCCGTAATCTGGCGATATTCCGGAGGTGATGGAAGGCGGTGCCAGTTGTGGTGCGGATGTGAGGGAGAAAGGACAGCTCAGGGTCGAACAAAACGCCGAGGTTCCTGACTGGCTTTGAGAGGTGGAGAGTGCAGCCTTGGATGCTGATGGTGTCAGCGCCTGAGGTGCGGAGGCGCTGACGTGAGCCAATCAGGAGGGCCTCGGTTTTTCGCACGTTGAGCTGAAGAAAGTTGTCTCTCGTCCAGGACTCGATGTCGGACAGGCAGGCTGTCAGGACATCGGTGGTCGTGGAGTTGAGAGTAGAGGAGGAAAGGTAGAGTTGGGTGTCATCCGCATACATGTGGAAGTTAACCCCATGTTTGCGGATGATGTCACCAAGGGGGAGCATATAGAGGGTGAAGAGGAGGGGACCGAGGACAGAGCCCTGAGGGACACCACATGAGACAGTACGGGGGGTGGAGGAGAAGCCATTCGTTGAGACGAAGTGAAGACGGTGGGAAAGGTAAGAGCTAAACCATTCAAGGACAGTGCCTTGAAGGTTGAGGTGGGAGGACAAGCGGTGGAGGAGGATAGTGTGGTCGACCGTATCGAATGCTGCCGATAGGTCGAGGAGGACGAGGAGACAGAGGGAGCCCTGGTCACAGATGGTCAGGATATCATTGGTGACCTTGACCAGGGCAGTTTCTGTGCTATGAGCAGCACGGAAACCTGACTGAAGGGGTTCGAAAAGAGAATGGGTGGAGAGGAAAGAGCGCAGTTGGGAGGCGACAACTCTTTCCAAGAGTTCTATTCTATTCCAACAATCTATCACCAGAATTTCCATGCGTAGGTGGGTTGCATGGTGATGGGTTTACGCATGTGTCAGATACCCGGCCAACCCAAAAAAATTCTAACTAAATAAAGGACCTTGGTTAAACAGCATTGAACTTCAGTTGGCAGTTAGCCCAAGTGAATATCCTATCAAGCTCTCTTTGTAAGGCCTTTGCTCCTTGATTATTTTACAACTGCAACAGGCAGTTTTCAATAGCCCCTCCTAGACTAATATTTGTTCTTTTCAACATCAGTCTGGAGACAAAATAAGGACTCCTAGATAAAATCTGGCTGAGAACAGCACCCATCAATAGCCAGGACTTGATATCAGACAGACAATTTGCCAGGACGTCAACGGTCGTGAAGTCGAGGGTGGAGGCAGCGAGATAAGAGTTGGGTGTCATCCGCATAAATGTGGAAATTGACCCCATACCTGCGGATGACATCACCGAGCGGGAGCATGTATAGACTGAAGAGGAGGGGACTAAGGACAACCCTGAGGGACATCACACATGACGATGCGGGGGCTAAAGGAAAAGCCGTTGGTATTCATGAAGTACAGACGGTGGGAAAGATAGGATTGGAACCAGATCCTTGTCCTCACCTTTAAAGCCCTCAAAGATCTTACTCCTCCCTACCTCTGCGACCTACTAAAAATTCACCAACGTGTCCGCTTTCTCCGCTATGCAGGCGCTGGCCTGCTCCACACTCCCGGTCCTGCCTGCTCCATTATCGGCGGTCAGGCCTTCAGCTTTTCTGCCCACACCCTGTCAATCTCCATCCTGGAGCCCCTCTGTCTCATCCCCTCCCTTCCCTCCTTTCAAGGCCCATCCCAAGATCTTCCTTTTCGACACTGGTTTTGGTTATCTTCCCTCCTCCATTCCCCTTGCTCT